TAGCTCACCCAAGGTGAGTGAGTGGGTAAGTTACCAATTTATTGCTACTTATACATTTGTTTGTATAACTGCACTGTAATATTGTAAAGGGCTACGGAATCTGTTGGCGCTATATAAATGGCAATAATAATAATAATAATAATAATAATAATAATAAAGACCCAGGAGGGTCGAAACGGTGATTCATTTTTTTGATTATGTGAATGCACATTTTTTGGGGGGGGCTGAAAATCCAGAGAGTGCTCTTTTATTTAACTTATATTTGCTGCCCTGGGAAGCATCCAATTTAGTTCTGTGGATTGTGTGTGTATATATAAATTTCCCTTTGTGAAAAATGTATGTCTGTTATCAACATACTAATATTTTTTCTTTAATAATTAAATTTTAATATATCAGGTTGAGAATTTTGGAAAACTATTGATTAAAAGCTGTCATGTATGAATTGACCTTGACAATCTCCCATGCATGATAATACTGTTAATTTTATATTAAACTGAATATTCTACTAATTTCAATTTGGCACTTTTAAGTACACACAAATCCCAAACTCTACCACAGTATTTAGTCTTCTCAGAATATAAAACCATTAACTAACATTTTATTACTATGCTGGGAAATGCATTCTAATCACATAACAGCTAAACAATGTCTTTACATATCAGTGAGTAGTGTATTACTAAAGGCAATTACTCAAGACAAGAATTAGTGCATCTGCAATATAGCAAATGCATGATTTACCAAATTCTAGTGAACATCTCATCTAATTCTTGAAACTGACAAAGAATAGAAAATAAAAATTGACAAAGGTAAAGACAAAAAATGATGAACACAATTGTCAAAATGTATCAACCAACAAACTATGGATTGCTTATATTAAAGATGAATCCTGGAGACAAAATAATATCGCTTTTTGAAGTATGTAAACTAACTTTCTAAATGAGACTTCTACACAAATTTTCTTTACTTTCCAACTTTTAACCTCTAAGGCAATACCTCCTCCCTGGTCCTTCTGTGACTGCTGTATATTTTAGATAAAAGACACAGCATAGCTAATGAAGGATAACAGTCTACAATGAAGCCAACAGAAAGGGATTGGTGGTTTTAACAGAACTGCGTGGTTATGAGGGAAAGTGTGTCCCCTAGTGGTCATTAGCAGAGCCACAAAATTATGTAAGGCGCATATGTTAACTCCTAAAAAGCCAGAGGATTGTAGAACCCATAAAAAGTAATGTAATGTCAGAGGGCAGAGACCAGTGATTTGCTATCTTTTACCAGGCAAAGGTTAACTTCCATTCCATTATCAGTTCCATGAAAAGTTTTAAAAGGATTGTTCTCTTGGTTATTGTTAATTGAAAACAGATGTGTTATGAAGGGATTCTGTAACACTTGAAACCAAGTCACTATGGCACTGAAGTGGTTAATGTACAGCAATGCTAACCAGGAATGATCCAGTTTTTCAGACTGCTACTTAGCTGAACTATACAGAACTGAGAACTCTACTGGCACTTCAAGGGTTAAACAGTCTACATGACATTATCCCTCTTATCATTGATAGATTATAGTTGTTTTAATAGCTGACCCACTTGAGAAGTTAATAATGAGATAGTTACTTGTGATTTAGAAAGGTAATATGTTCTACACAACTAAACAAACTTGCTTGCTATTGTATTTTGTTGTCAATGCATATTTTTTTTTGGTACGGGTAATTGTGTGAAAACTCTGTTCTGGTATATTTACTAATATTCTGGGATTCTGGTGGTGACAGTCCTGGGCCATTGGGTTCTTACGAGCATCAAGATTCCTACTCTCGCCAGCAGCAGTCTGTTTTGTGCTTAGAGTGATGGGCGTTGCACTCTCAGCTCTAGTGCTCAATCTGACAAATGTGGTTCTTGTTCTTCATCTACAGAGCATCTCACAGCTGCTGTTTTCACTGTTATGAGTAGTAAGATCTGCATTTTATTTTATCTATAGGAGTACAGAATGAATTAATGGATGGCCCATAGGAAAATGCCACTACATTTCCAAACTAATCTATAGATCTTTGGAATTCTTGTGGGAGCACATTGATATTTGCTGGCTTTCGAATTGACTGTGATCTCGTTTTCTAATAATGGACTTTTAAGATGTTGTGGTTTTGTGTACAGTTGAGGCAATCCATGCATTGCATTGGGACTTCTTAAGGCTGAGATAGTCTTTTATCTGTCACAAGCTCTCCACAGGTACTGTTTATGTTACATTCCCACTAATCCCACTGCTTGCCTGTAAAATCTCTAAGATCTGATCAATTCAATCTTTTTCAGATACTTTATACAGTTCGTGTTTACTGATCTAAACACGTATCATCAGCAATGGGTATGCCACACACTATACAAGTTATCTTCTGCAACGTGACCAAAATAAAGGGATTCTTAAGTACATCTGTGTCAGACTGGGATGAGAGTGGCTACCAATATATTAAACATGACATTGCAAAATGAGTGATAATATTGATTATACATACAGGTATTAGACTATCTATATTAATATATATATTAAGGGGATATTTAAAAATACATTTAACAGTCATATACTTTACATTAATTTTAGGTGTATTTCTATAATAGAATCTGCATTAATTGCAGATTCTACAGTCTTGCCCATATTATATTATTATTATTATTACATAATAATATAATAATACAATTAATATAATAAAATAATAACATAACAACATGTTGATTCTGATAGATATAAATAGATATAAAGATATAAAGCTATATAAATCTATATCTGCCTGTCTATCTATCTATCTATCTATCTAATGACTGTCTGTCTGTCTGTCTGTCTATCTATCTATCTAATGCCTGTCTGTCTGTCTGTCTGTCTATCTATGTAATGCCTGTCTATCTATAACAACAGATGAAATTGGTATCTTGCAATACTATATATATATGTATACACATACACACAGATACACACATATTTTACACTCACGCGCACCAACGTATACAAATGGAAAACTTATGTATATAACATTAACTTGTAAACGTGGGTCTTACTAAGAGATCAGCGTATACACTATAGTTATAGGTAAAGTATCATATATTATTATTATTATTAATAATATTATTAGTGTTGTTGTTGTTATTTGTAATTATTCTGTTTCCACAAATCTAAAATGAAATCCATATTAATATTTAGAAAACCTATGGGTTTCGTGAATAACATTGAAAATAATAAGCACACTTGATAAAAGATGGGCAATACATGCGAATGAAATACTGACATTTACCCGAACACAGGTAAAATGATAAGTGATCTATATTCGGTACCTGGGATGAATAGAATTCTGAGAGTTCATATTTAATAAATACGGTAATCATCGTTCTATCGTTAGAATTAAACCATGTGCGCATGGATCTGTTGGCCCTGATCAAGGTTTCACATCAATTCAGCTATGTTTATGGAGTCACTTGGGAGGAAATTCATAATGGCCCTTCATGAAGTCAGTCAGGGAGAAGCCACATATTACAGGCTCCCAGTCAGTGAAGGGGTTAATCCACTGATTTCTCAGGTATCAGCTAAGATTGCAGAATCTGCTATTAAAAAAATAAAAGGTAAATTGAAGGTAAAGTGTGTGACTGCGAATAGTAGATGTTTAATGCACCCTTTATAGTGACTAAGTGAGAAATCAGCCTATGTGATAACTTTGGCCAATATAGGTCCAGGCAATGGTATAAGACACAGCCTGATGGCCAGAGCCCCTGTCAAAAGCAATTAACAGGAATTACTGGTATGACTTTGATAAATTAGGGTCTCACGTTTCTCTTTAGCTTTCCCAGCCCCCTTTTCTTCTGTATTTGATCTCGACCCTCCCTTTTAACACAGCTTGTATCGGGCTTCACACATTCAGATCCTCTTGAACGTTACCATTATTACTGAGATAATATTTTCTTAAAGAAAAATAATAAATGCCTCAATTTTCTCCCCTTGCAGTCAACTCCTATCCATATAGCATCCATTAATAAAGGTTTATGAAACAGTGAGACCTCATATTTTGATTTAGAGAAGGCATTCCCTGCCCTGTATAGCAATACATCAACTCATTAAACACTACACACTGTATCCCAGAGCTGACACAGTGGAGTTTATCTGCTCAGTGTTATATACATTTGAAAAGAATCACGTGACAAATTCTTAGGAAGGAAACTTTGTAAAAGTGTATAAAAAAGTTAATATAGGAGATTTTAATTTATCATCATTCCATTTTCTATTTATTATGACTTTTTATCCAAGGATCTAGTCTAAAACATCTTTATTGCTTTTCTTGTTATTGTAAATAATAATCAAGCTTATGTCAACAAAGAGTTAATACCTACTTCCCATAAATATATTATCGTTTGGAATTCTTGAAGCCAGGTGGGTGGGCTTTCCAAACAAGTCTGCTTTTGGCACACAAAGGGTTAATTGTGATCCCTAACATTTTCATCTTTTAAATCCTGGTCATCTTTGCAGGCATCATTCCAGGGAGTTCAAACATGGAGGCTACAGATACAATGTATTTTGTTTTGTTTATGTCATCCTCTTGATGTGAATTGAAGAATTGAAAAAATAGAATTAAATAAAGAAACCACACACTGCATTACAGAAAAACAAGTGACCCTAATGGAAGAATGCGAATTGTGCAATCAGATTGATTGTTGTGTTTGATTTATTAACCTATTTTGTAATAGAAGGCATTTACTAAACTCTGTTAATTACTGTATGGATGCTTAACCCTGCCAGAAATCAAAGGGTTAATAGAGAAAAATGCAAATAAAATAGCATGATACTCCAAATGAATAATAATAAAAAAACAAAGAATAAAAAAAATGCAATTATCCAAGTTACAAGCTAAGTCTGTTGAGAAAGCCTTGATCTAAAGAAACCCCCTTGCTCCAGATCACACAGCCCAGAGCATTATAAGCCCCAGGTGAATTGAGAAAGGGGATTATTTAGTAGGATTTATTAACAAAATATACCTCGGACGGATGGCAAAAGAATTGTTTCTTTCTTTTCTTTTCTTTTCATTTTTTTCCCCCTCTCCCCTCTTAGCGGAAACCTAATAAAAGTTAGTGCAGACAGGGCACTCCCCCGTGACGTAGGGGGGAACTCAGTCAGCCAATAGGAAGTTCTCCCCAAATCTTTCTGCCTGCAAGAAATATAAGGGCTCAGAACGTTCTGTATCAAGTCAGAAACACGCTCGCGTCTGGGGACAAAGTGATAGGGTTGGGTTTGTTTTGTGGCTCTTGAGCCCCCTCCAAAAGTCCATTGGAGAAGGGTTTCTCCTACCAGCAGGCGCTGAGTGCTCGGGAGATCGGTTTCTTGGGACAGTCCCCTGCCCTCTGCCAGGGTTATTTCTCCCCATAGTTCTGGTAGAAAATGATGCAGGAAGAATCGAGCTCCCCAGTCTCCCCAGTGGACAGCTTGAGCAACAGCGAGGAAGAGCTTGACAGGCAGCAGGGTAAGAGGGGATGCAGAAAGAGGAGACCCAGTAGGAAGAACCCAGAGGATCCAGACAGCCCAACCTCCGTGAAGAGAAACAAGAAAGCCAGCAGCACAGGCAGCAGCCCCCAGTCCTTTGAGGAACTTCAGACCCAGAGAGTCATGGCTAATGTAAGGGAGAGGCAGAGGACCCAGTCCCTCAACGAAGCCTTCGCAGCTCTGAGAAAAATCATCCCCACCCTCCCATCCGATAAACTGAGTAAAATCCAAACCCTCAAACTGGCATCCAGATACATCGATTTCCTGTGCCAGGTTTTACAGAGCGATGAGCTGGACTCCAAAATGGCAAGCTGCAGTTATGTGGCCCACGAACGGTTAAGCTATGCCTTCTCAGTGTGGAGAATGGAGGGAGCGTGGTCCATGTCTGCATCCCACTAAAGCAATGCCACTGTGGGAACCACTCTAAAGGCACACTCAGGTAAGGAAGCAGGGCAGAGCCCCCTCCATGGCAACCATGGCAGCATTCTATATCCATCGATAACTTCCCTAAACTGGATACATTGATAGAATGAGGATTTATACGTATGTTCGTGTATACATAGATATATTGTTATTTTATTTGAAGTATTTTAAGGAGTCACTCCTCCACCTCCCAAGCACACTCTTAGATCATAGACAAGGGGCCTAGAAAAGGGGTCACAATGAAAACTCTGGACTCCACAAACTACAACTGTTTAGTTTTCATGTGAACGAAATACCAAGCAGCTTGTGATTATTTGTTTTATCCCACTCTGCATCAGATCAGGTTTTGCTTTCTCTCTCTGTAGTTGTTTTTTACATTGTGTTTGTTTTTATTATATTTTTTTAGCAGAGACCCCTCAATGCATTCCCTGTCATTTCTAAAAGCAGATTCTGTAATCGTTCTATGGCTGTGCTGACTCTTTATCCTCCTTCCTTCCCCAGTCTGTCTGTGTTCACTGGTCCTCCTAATGTAAACCGTTATTCCTAATCCCAGGCAGGCATTTATAACGGTCCACAACAGACAGATCAACTCTGATTTCCCCTATTTTCTGCTTGCTGTTATTAACCCGTTGAATGACAGGGAGCAGCAAACCCCTCCTCCCCCCTCCCCACTTTCCAATTCTCCTTTTGTTGTTACTGAACTGGTTTTTATTACATAACAAACATGGACTCCTATAAGTATATGTGAATTAATATGTATTCCTGTTTGTTTTTCTCCCTAGATGTTACTGTTTCCAGTAAAGGAGGAAATGGATTATATGTAGAGACTGAAGTTGGATACCTATAAAAAAAAAAAAGATATGAGCTAAAGTAATGCACCCCTGGATTTTCTTACATTGGGAGAGATGGGAAAGCCAGGGCGTGGAGAAGCACTTATATTGAGTTAAAGTAGAGGCCTGGTACACTGAGCATTTTACACAGGAAGGCTACAGGCTCCACAAATCTATTCCATTCTGATCCAAGTCTGAACAATCTCTAATCTGTACTTTGACGAAGAATGTTGGAGATTCATTTTTACCATTTCATTTTTTATTTTTTTTTACTTGCATGCAATCCCACCAGTCGTGCCTTTGAAGCCACTTAAGAGGAACATTTTATTTTGAGGCTTCCAGGACCTAGTGCAGACCTACAATTTTTTATAGGAAATGAAAAAAAACAAAACACAAACTATTTTTATTTGAAACTTGTTTTTTTTTATTATTTTAAAAACTGTTTATATACAAGCGGCTACATCTCTCTATTCTTCCTGAGAACAAAGTAAAACATTTTATTTATTTATTGACCCATGTTTAAAAAAAAAAAAAATGCAACTAGATCCGGTGTCTAACTGCATTCATATTTTTATGGTTGTTTTGTAAATATCAATGCATATTATTTTTCTGCAATAAATAAATGTTTGAAGAAACCTATAGTTTTTTTTTTTTTTTTGGTTTGTATTTTAAACCCCATTGGTTTGTTAATTGGAAAATTTCAGTACCTTATTGTTTAGCTGACACCCGGAGAGAGGGGGTTAAGAAAAACAAACCGGTTAGAAAGAAAACTCCTCAAATAAACAAGCTACTGACAGACACAGAAGGTAATGACAAGGATTGCTATATCGTTCTGCTTATCAGAGCGAGCTGGGGAGCTTCGCCTTCCTTCATCAGGGCTCTAAATAATGTCAAAAGGTGGCCTGGTTTTATCCACTGGCCAAAAAAGGCCAGATCCCCTCTCTTAACAAGACACTTTTCCTTTCTGCTTAGTTATGACCCAAGTGTAGAATGTCACACATCGTTGTATCATTCTGCAGAGCAATTTGTGCTGTTCCTACAAAAACAAATAACAGACACTGGGCACACAGCTCTTATCGAGTCCTATCCTCAGGGTGATCCTTAAAACAAATAAAATCCAATTCCTGTATTTGGTTTGCAATTTTTTTGTACCAAAAAAATAAATAAAGTTATATCAGTATAAATAGATAGAGAAATAGATATTTAAATATTGAACTACTATAGTTTTTATGTATTGAAATTCTATAAGAATATATCCAAATTTTATATATTTATATATCCTCTATGTGTATATATATATATACATTTTGAAAAATGTGCAAGTATCTAAATATGCAGTAATCGAAAATGCAGGATATTATTACCCATATATGTTATATTAATTAAATGCATGTGTAACAATATGTAAATATTTTGTACTTGCTACGTTTAACCGTTTAAAATGCCACTCCCATTAAACCTGCATTACTTCCCTCTGAATTTGAGCAAGTAGATTGCAAATTGAGCAACTGTACATATTGTTGTAACTCTATTCATTAAACAGCGAGTCCAGTTGCTTTGACTTGATAACCCACTTGCAAAATGAAGATCCTAAATTTAGACAATTTACAAATTTGGAAATAACCTATAATTAGTTGGAAAAAAAACATTTATTTAGCAGCTCTGTCGGTTTTTAGATTACCATTTATTTAATAACATCAGTGCATTTTCTTGTAGATTTAGACTATCAGTGCACTTAATTTGTCTTTCTTGTAGCTCAGGGTACAGACAGTGATTTAATTTTTTTATGTTGCCCATTAATTAATAAAGTGACCTATGCAGAGATGACAGCACTCTTGAATATTAGCACAAATGTTGTAAATAAGTTAGGGGGAAAAAAACTGAACAAATTTGAGAATCTTTCTCCAACTCAAGCATTTTCTTTTAGATGTATCTTGGTAAAAATTCCGATCTCTCCATTTAGTGAATAGATCCAAAGATTAAAAAAAATAAAATAAAATAAAATAAAATAATAATAAATAATAAAAAGATCTTGTTTGTTTATCCAGGGGGTTAGCTATCCACTCATTGATGTTTCTGTTTCCACATATTGCTATGTATCGCTGACACTAAATTATTATGAATTTAATTTTGTGCATATCTTTGAGCTGCTGGTGTTTAGAGAAGAAAGTCGAGTTTGTTTTTATTATGGGATTAAAGGGGACTTTGAAAATTGAATTGAAGGTTAGGTGGTCCGCTTTGAAAAACAACTGTTAATAGGGAATAATAAGAGAGACACACTGCCTGCACAGAATTGGCCCATTCCTTAAGTCATCAAAGAGTTTTTTTGGGGTTTTTTCTGGAGACAAATTAAATCTTTACTAATATTAAAAATAAACATTCCTCTACAGATCAGTTAATATTCCTGGGGCATTCCAAGGGAAAAGAGAACAATGACAGCATGTTGCTTAACATCCTTAAAAAGAATTATGCAAATAAGTAATAGAATAAAGATTTATTATAAACATACATTATATGGTGTTTGTAAATATCCTGTGTAAGTTGTATAGTGACACTCCATAGACTGTTTATAATACCTAGACAGTCTGCATCTCTACATTAAGGACAATTTTCTCAAGAAAAGTAGCTAGGCAAGGATCTAAATTGAAATGTCCAAAATATTAAAAGATAGCTAATACGAATGGCCATTTTTCCCCAAGTATTTACTTTTATCAGTGTTATCTAATCTTGCTCCAGCTCCCCACTCTAACATGGCTGCAGAGGTTGAACTGTTAGCTCTAGCATTTATTACTCTATAAATCTTTACATATCCTCTATGGAAACAACAGTGCATGTCAAATTGAAATACTCACACACCAAAGTTGTTGTTCTTGTTTTTGTTTTTTTTTTTGTTTTTTTTTGTAGACAAAAGTTTAAAAAAAAATCTCAACGTTCTCAATGTTCTTCATGATTGTAAGAATTTTTTCGTTTGCCAGTATGAATTCCAATTCACGTTGGAAGCGTTCCCTCTGTGTTTTAGGTGAATTATGGTTTATTTTGATGCCTTTATACAAACCTGTTTCCCATTTGAAATCACACTTCATAAGAAGGTGTTCTAACACGATTATCATTACTATTGCACATTGTTTATATACACTGACACCAGATCAGATCTGCCACTTCCATGATAGACAGAGGTCTTTCAATGCCTTATCTAGCTAGATGCTGATATTAATTGATACAAACTGTAATTTCACACTAAATCTCTAGGCCATGCACAGTGCAGTGGACCAATGCTATTGTAATAGATGTTTTATACTCTGTTCTGCAAACTTCCCATTTGAAGGAGTCTGTAGGGTCTCCTGTAGGAAACTGGAGCATTTTTGCACATTCCATGGTTTGGCAAAGTGGGAATAGCTATTTTCTGCAGTCCAGTATCAAATTATTCCTAAGCATATGATTTCACTTGAAGTCCTGCCCAGGAATCCTTCAAAGTGAACATTTGTCCCGCTCTCATGATGTCAGGCGGTTTCCCTGCATCTGTAATTTGAAGAAAAACAAACGTGCAGGGAACAAATGCCACAAAAAAGGAAAACAGGATTCTGCAGAGTAAAGGCTTTCACCTGTGGAGTGAGTGAACAAAGAGGAGGATCTGTTGGACTCCTACTAAACACAGATCTAGAATCAGAATGTCCAGAAAGAGGACAGCAAGAAAGGCATAGGGACTACAGGACATATAGAACAGGATCATTTATGTATTTATTCTCTCTCTCTCTCTCTCTCTCAAATTTTGTATATAAATCCTGTTAGATTTTTTTTTAATTTGTGTGTTTTGTTTTTTTTATATAGTTTAGAGTACGTGGTATATTGTGTAAACAATAAAAGGCCTGCAAGTCAAACCATTATTTAAATAAAAAGAGTGGATCTGTGCCTATTTTAAAAATTTTAATTGCTTTTTTTTTTTTTTTGCTTTTTAATCTTACAAACAACAAAAATCGTTTTCGTAGTAAACATTTTTATAGGATTTGAATTGCATTAACGTTTGGCAAGTAGTGGATTGAGCGCTCTTAATGTGCTTTCCAAATCAAAGGCTGTGCTCTTTGAAGAAGGTGTGTGATTGGGGTCTGTTCCATGTATAGAATCTCCAGATGTCTATAAAACAAGAAGGGGCATTTGGCAGGTCACGTGAAGGGGGTGCAGGTTAAAATCACTTGCACAAAAGTCCCTTTTTTACAACTGAACAGTCTTCCATTTAGAAGCCAAATGCAGGAAAGCTCACAGACATATTTCCAGTGCTTGTAGGTATTAAGATGCAAAACACATTAGCATAAACAACCTAAATTCTAACTGATTGACTGCCTGTGTTATTAACCCTTTACTGACCAATGGTGTATCAGACATGTAATGCCTATGGAATAATAATAATAATAATAATAATAATAATAATAATTATTATTATTATTACTATTATTATTATTAGATATTATTATTATTTGTATTATTATGTGATATTATTATGTGATATTATTATTATTATTATTATTATTATTATTATATGTTTTGCTTTCTTAATAAAAAAGAAGTTAAATATCCTTTGCATGATGAGCGATTAATATAAATATATTTGCTGCTAATATAATGCTAATAAACAGATACATTTGTTTCCTAGTTACAGTATAACAATTTTTATTTTAAGCACGCTTCTTATGTTCACTGTACGAGTGTGTTTTACTGGAAGCTATTACATTATAGATATATTTCTAATGCAATGTGAGGGACAGTGAAGAATTGTAAAACGAATTGCAAAATATAGTGGGCATCAATCGCCATTCCTTGTAAACAGGATATCATTTCTCAATCACTTATTTCGGCCTATTATTTGCTATTCGATTGTTAACACGCTACAAAAAACGATGGAAACGATAATAGTAAAACAATGGTGATTAATGATGGTATGTGGATTTAACTGTTTTCATTTTATGATGATTAATTATTCAGAATACAGATATGACATTATATGTAGGTGGGTGTATATTAGCAAGAGCGATATTATTTTCTGATAACCCAGGCCTGTCCTGACAACCTTATCCCAGCCCTGTCCTGTAAGCCACGTATTGGTCCTGTCTTAATACCAATATTCTAACACTGTCCTAATATCAATGTCTCAGCCCTGTCCTGTCAGCCAAATATTGGTCCTGTAATAATATCAGTGTCCCAGCCCTGTTAACCAAGTCCTTGTTCTGTCCTGATACCAATATCCCAGCCCTTGTTTCTGATGAGGTGTCAGGGTTGCAGAGTGTAAAGCATTGCTGAGATGTTTGCATGTGACCAAGTCATGATCAGTCTTGGTTCTGTCTTGATGTCAGTGTCCTATCAGTCCAGCCCTGTTTCTGTCCTAGTATCAGTGTCCCAGCCCTTGTTTTGATGAGATGTCAGGGTTGCAGAGTGAACAGCTTTGCTGGGATGCCTGGATATGACCCAGACATGCTCAGTCCTGTCCTGATAGTAATGTCCCAAATTCTGTCCTATTAGTCCAGCCCTGGTCCTGTCCTGATATCAATGTCCCAGCCCATGTTTGTGATGAGGTAGCAAGGTTGCAAAATGCACAGCATTGCTGGGATGCCTGGATGTGACCCAGTCATGCTCAGTCCCTTCTGATAGCAATGTCCTAGTTCTGTCCAATCAGTCCAGTCCTGGTTCTGTCCTAGTATCAGTGTCCTATAATAAGTCCAGTCCTGGCTCTGTCCTAGTATCAGTGTCCCAGCCCCTGTTGTGATGAGGTATCAGGGCTGCGTAGTGCACAGCATTGCTGGGATGCCTGCATATGACCCAGTCAGTCTCAGTCCTGTCCTGATAGCAATGTCCTAGTTCTGTCCTATCAGTTCAGTCCTGTTTCTGTCCTAGTATCAGTGTCCCAGCCCTTGTTGTGATGAGGTATCAGGGCTGCAGAGTGCACATCATTGCTGGGATGCCTGCATATGACCCTGTCAGTCTCAGTCCTGTCCTGATAGCAATGTCCTAGTTCTGTCCTATCAGTCCAGTCCTGGTTCTGTCCTAGTATCAGTGTCCCAGCCCTTGTTGTGATGAGGTATCAAGGTTGCATTGCTGGGATGCCTGGCTGTGACCCATTCATGCTCAGTCCTGTAGGGCCCTGTGTGTCTTCCTGTGCACACAGTGTTAGCTCTCACGGGGACCCTGCAGTGGAAGCTGAGCAGGTACCTGGATACAGTGTGTACTTTGACCAGATGTTAGCATTTTTCCTTAGGATTGTCACGTGAAGTGAACAGATGTCCAAGTTGCTCTCAGTACAGGCGAGGGCCACGCCTTCCCCCAGCCGGAGAGCCCCAGCAGCACTCACATAGCCAGCTCCAGGCCTGCTCCCCGCTAGTCTCAGCCAGGCAAGCACCAGCAGCTCGTCTCGCTGGGAATCGTTTGATCCTCAGGAAGGGATCGGATCTCAGCTCGGGAAACCCTGAGACTAATCAATTGCTGCTTTGACATGGGTGCAGGGTGACAAGGAACGGCCAGGAATGCCACTTGTGACAGATCGGACAGAGAGCTGAAGGATGAGCTGAAAGACACGCGGTAGGTATGGTGGGGTATGGTCCTTAGCAACTGACAGGGAGCCCCCCCTGGGTAGAACTGCTGGGGGAGGAGGAGGAATAGCGAGGATAACACTTGGACATGTCAGCAGAATTCTGGAATAGAACCCTGAGAGTCTTCCATTCTGTCACTCAGCACAGACAAACACCATGCACAATGACAGACAGACAGATATAGATAGATAGATAGATAGATAGAAAATATGTGTTGTGCAAGGTTCTGGAAGAAGAGTATGGCATTAATGCAACAACTGCAATGCATTATGTATGTATGAGTTATTGCTTTATGTACGCTTTGTGGGATCTGTGACACGTTGGGGTTCACTAATAATTCAGCAGTGATCAGTAGTAGATTGAGTTGGAAGACTGAGGCCAAAAAAAAAAAAAAAAGCTTAAATAGATACAAAAATCTGTTCATTGTGGACTTTGTTCAGTTAGGTAATTCTCACCTGAATTTTGTCAGGTGGTTGTCAAGTCTTCAGAAGTCGCAGATTAGTAAATACTGATTCCACAGTTATATAACAATCAAGCAATCAATTGTAATTATGGGTGAAAGGCTGCTCTATGTATGAGCCATATTTCTTAGGACTAAGTAGGAGCAATTATGGGACAGAATGCAGAGCAAACACTATAGAAATTAAAGCAATGTTTAAAATTGACAATTTTGCCCCAGAGATGATGCCAATGTGCCTTAATAAGTGTCAAAAAGGCTCTCCTAATTAGAGAAAAAATAGAAGTGAAGCTATTTTTATTCATGCACAATGTAAATTATACTGTAAACATGTTTGCGTTAAACACTTAATACTTGCAATGTAATTGTAAGTAATGTGGACACTACACTATACTTTGTATCTTTTCAAAATGTATATATGAGATTGTTGCTGTTTGTCCATATGTTTACTTACTCACACAAAAGGCAAGCCTCACTTCATTAAACGTGAGTAGGTACAACATGAATGTGTATAGAGTATACATGTATTATAATATATCCTTCATACTTCATATCTGTAAATAAAATGATCTGGTATTATGTGAAGCATCGTAGTAAAAAGCTCTAAAGGTATAATTTGATATTAACATATCACCCATTAAAATAAGATTTCAGTTTTGATTTCTGGGTTATTTATTTATTTAAATATACTGCACGTATTGTATATTTTATTATGTCTATTCTATCTATCTATCTATCTATCTATCTGTCTGTCTGTCTGTCTGTCTGTTTGTCTAGGTGACCTTCTATCTAGATTATAAATAATTCCATGGATAATATTTATATTTTAATGTTTCGCCTCTTAATAATAATAGCAAAACAATGGTGATTTAATGTTTCGCCTGGATTAATTAATACCTTCCTTTGCTATAATGAATGAATCAGGTCAGTAACTCCATCTGCCTTCTGACAAATGTCATTTTATCGTGAAGTTCTGATCCACTTGCTAAATTGGTGTTAATTTCAAACAGACTGCTCACTTCTCTTGGGACTAAAAACAGGAGAGCAGAGCCAGTCTTTATTGATGAGAGAACATGGTTATATCAGAAAAGTAGATGTGTTGTTTCTTTTGCACTTTTTTTAGTAGCAAAAAAACTATATAAAAAACACAAAAAATAATCTAAAATATTCCTTTAAAAAGCACATTTGGGTTTATAGATAAATTAAGCTATATTTGCAATGTTTCAGCTAATGCACGAGTCCATCTCACAGTGAGCTGGGTTATTGGGTATATTATTAATAACACACACTGGGTTAGCATTGCATTTTTTTTGCTGACAATATAGAGGTCTCTTGCAATGTCTATCAATGGGTAAAAAAAAATAATCTAATTAATGTAAGTGGGGCAAAATCAATCCTATAATTGTTCTATTACATGGACATGTATTTGATTTATTGCCAAAACATTGAATTAGATATTCACGCAGCAAAGCTGATCTTAAGTATTCACACTATCATTAAAAAGAGTAATAATGTGATTAATGTAGTAATTGTTTACTTCAGAGATATTCTATGCCTCCAGGACTCCTATTTTACCATAGGAGAGCAATGGTTAGATATTCAGTCAGATCATTGTTTGTTTTCTTAAAATCCCACATATAATTATGTTTTTCCCCCACTAACTGACTTTGGACTGCGCATGAATAGATCATTCTTTGACAGAACAGCTGTTGCAAACTACAACTCTCACGATGTTCAGGCAGTTAAACCTCTGGCTGAGCAAAAAATGGAGCAGTCAGAATTTTTTTTATCTCTGTCAATAAATATCAGTATCCAGTCACATAATTACATGTAATGTGTCAATGCTGCATAAAAATATATAATAGGTTGGTTTTTCAAATTGATATATATATGAGAAATCAAAGACTTTTCTGTAAAAACAATTGTGAATTTTTTTGTGTGTGTTGGAGCTATCACTATGCAGGCAAATGGAATGTTGTTGATTAATTTCTATTTAACGTTATTTGCTATACTCTTTTTTTATACATACAAACCGACGTCTATTCAGTAAATAGCGATATATATATATATATATCTTTTTGATGAGTTGAAAACCACATTGAAAAGCTTACACCCAAAAACAACAGACTTAGAAATAAAATCGCCACGTTTTTTTTTTCCCTCACCCCACATTTCCTGCGTTGGCCTACATTTTAACGTCGGTACTAAAATAAAAAAAATAAAAAATAGCGCTGTTTAGTGAATATACCTAGTTGTTTTCCAAGACTCAAACTGAATGATTTATAATAAGATCCGATGCTCAGATGTGCATAGATAAGACAGTAAGTCATAAACAGATCTGTGCAACGTTTAGCTGCAAAATAAAACGACCAATCAAAATTTACATTTATTTTTTAAGTTACATTTTTATAAATTGTAATTTTTAAATAGTCTATCCAGAAAATACATTTTACATTTTATAATAAATTAAAATACAAGAAAAAAATAATAATAATAATAATGTTGCAATATATAGTTAAAATATTTGGAAACTGTGATTATGAGGAATTTGATCTTGTGAATTCACAAAGAATTCACCTGTGCTGGTCCTCTTAACAAGAATATTCAGCAAGTGACATTTCAAAGGGTTACACGTATTCTGCCCATGACATTAAAATTCCTCTTTTGACAAGCTTCTGCCATCTGTATTTTTGACTTCAGACAAAAGTGAAGAATTTTTATTTTCTGTTTCCCCCCTCTTTTTATATTTCCCACTCCTGCTTTGCTGATTGTACGTGTTTATTGGTTTCTGAACAGTAAACTTTGATCTAAGAATCTGAAGGGACAGATATAAAGGATCTTAAGACACTTGTCTGATTTGAACGCTTTTCAGAGTGATTTATGGCAAAGCTTCCTTCTGAGCTTTCCAGATGACTTGTGTCTCACGAGAGCCTGTTTTCAATATCAACGTTGTCCTAATCTTTGCAGAATGCAAAACACGGTGCAGGTTGTTAGATGAAAACAATATCCATTGAGATAAAAATTAAATGTTCATTTTAACCCTCTGGGTGCCAGTTAGATGGACTGCCTCTTGTGAAACCCTGTCTGAGAGTTACCAGTCATCTTGAAACTGGATCATGCAAATCTGATATGTGTAGCACCGAGGGCTACTCCTGGCTCCATCCATCATCCATTCTTTTGCTTTGAACTGAGCTCCCATGACAACTGCTGGCTGGAGGTCATGAGAGTGGAGGTATACACATTCAGAGAGCATTCCAGCCAATTATAACACCAGTACAGCTCAAAAAGCAATAGAGTTGCTAAACTCAAATAGCCACACCACTGCTAAACACTGAAATATTTTATTGGATCAATTATTGATTGCAGAAGAAGAAGGCATTTTCAGTTGTAGCATGTATTCTTTCTACAATTCTCATTCTTTACTGATTACTAATAGAGAAGGCGTTTCCCAAATTATGTCAAAAAAGTATGTTAATAACCAGAACATATTAGTTATATATCAGTACATAGTAGCACAATTTGCCAGAATCAGGCATGATAAAATAGGATATTTTTTTCCAGTGATGTGCATAGGGTTTTGGAATGAAAGACAGAGAAAGAGAGAGAGAGAGTGAGAAAGAGAGAGAGAGATATATAGAGAGCAAGATAGATGATATAGCACCTTTGTAAATACTTACAAAGGACTTGAAAAGCTATACATGTTTTGATCTAATAAAAAAATTCTAAGAACCCCTTGCGAATAGAGTATATATTGGATAGAATCATGTTATTGATTAATTTATCCATCCATCCATCCATCCATCAATTTACCCATCCATCCGAAAATACCATGTTAACGTCCTCATATAAGCGCTACGGAATCTGTTGGCGCTATATAAATGGCAATAATAATAATAATATGTATATGTATTCCTTATGGTCTGGCATTCTATACACTTTGCAAATCAAATTATGTTTCTATTTGGAGAAAAATGCATGCATGCCAACCACATTTGTGAGGTCATGTTTCATGTCATCTGTTAACTTCCAAAAGAATAATAATAATATTAAAAAAATAAAAACAAAACCCAAGGAAAATAAATAATTAAACCCCTTCAAACCTATCAAATGTTTAACAGCTGAAGGATAGTCATCTTTAGGAACATAGCCAACATATCAATAAAAATGTAATTATTTCTGAAACATGTGAGAGTACTTACAATATCCAAAAACATGATACTGTATATTGATATTTTGGTGGAAAGTGAACAATATAGTTTCATATTTGCTGGTCAGGACCTTGTCCCCAAAAGGCAAAACATGCCACTGAAATGTTAATAAGTCCTGACAGCTTATTAGACATGAAAGATCAATTGATATTTACCTGCATCAAATCAGTGGGGGGATTTTAAAATAAAGTGACAGTATTAAGCTTGTTTGGAAGGACCCATGTGGGTGGAAGGGATAAGGTGTTCTCAAAGATCAAAGGGATGGAAAGTAGTTTAAGATGTGCATAGCCTTTGTGTGCATGTTTGTTTGTTTGTGTGTCTGTCTGTCTTTTGTCTGGAAGTTTAATAGCTAATAGCTAAACAAACAGGGAATTGTGAGGAAATTAAAAAAATATATTTTCACAATTAAGACCTTACTAGTTGATATAAAAACATTCTAGAGCCAAATATTCTGATGATCAGCTAAATAAGCCGAAATGTGACTACAGCTGAATTGGATAATTTCTCCAAATTCGCTGTTTTGGCCAAATATTTCAAATCTGGGTTTCAATTCACTACATTCCACAGTTTAGTGAAAAAGCCAATTTGTTTAACATGTGTTATTTGTTTAACATAGATAGTATTACCAAATAAATACAGGAGCAAAATTGTACTTTTTTTTTTAACAATTGTTGAAAATTTGGTACAGTTTTTTATTCATTTAATTTTCATTTTTTCTCTCCCCTCACCCCTCTCTCTCATTATGCTTTCATTTGCATATCATTGTTGAACTGTAACGTATAAGGCAAGATTGAAAACAGATCTCGCCAATCATATTTAAATGTTACAGTCTGTTAATTCAAATTACCTAGAAAATAAATTCTGACATTTCATTCAAAAACTCAATGTCATACCTACATTTTGTATTCTATCTATCTATCTATCTCTCTATCTATCTCTCTATCTATCTATCTATCTATCTATCTATCTATCTATCTATCCATTATCTATCTATCTATCTATCTATCTATCTATCTATCTATCTATCTATCTATCTATCTATCTAATCTATCTAATCTATCTGTCTGTCTGTCCGTCTATCCATGTTTTTTTTTCAGAAATGAATAATTGTCAGGTATTCAAAGTAGTTAGTCAGCTATTTTTTCTACTTTTGTAAATTCATGTTTTGTTAATTACTATGTTGAAAGAATAAAATCGTTAAAGAAAGATCCATAGAACCATGTTTAATGGAAAGTAATCTGTATTTTTTAAACACAGGACAATTATCTAGCAAATTATATAAGGACAAAAAAAAAAACAACCAAACCCAAAACTTTATTTGCATTGACTGATGTTTAGAAGCCAATAACATTATAAATAGCACATTACTTGCAATTCATACCTTAAATGGACACGATAGTCACCAGAATCACTTCAGCTTAATGTATGGCTTCTGGTATCTATAGCCTGTCTCTGTAGGCATTTCAATGTAAACACTGTCTTTTCAGTTAAAAGACAGTGTTTACATTGGTGCCTAATAACACCTCTAGTGGCAGTCACTCAGCTGGCAACTAGACGTGCTTCCTAGTACAGGAAATACTGATTGGTGCTGCATTGTGTTTTGCTGTGCATGCGCAATAGCCTCCCAATGCTTTCCTCTGGGAAAGCATTGTATTGGCTGAGATTATCAGGATTAATGATCTCAGCTATGGAGGCATAGTCAAATGGAACCAGCTGAGGCATGGGAGAAAAGGTAAGTCAAATCAGCTTTTCAAAAGGAGGCACCTAAACAGCCATACCAGGACTATACTGTGAGGAAAACATGTTTGTATTCCTGACACTATCGTGTTCCTTTAATGGAATAATGAGAGCCATATATTCTTTTGTGATTATAGTGTATCACCCATCTTGCATCATTCTGTCAGTTATAGATATACAGAATTTATTTTGATGAGCTTTGCCTGACGGAAAAAATACATATCTGCATAACTAACGCTACTGCGATGACTCCCCTAATCAATATCTTCCCTGTGTAAAAGATTTAAAAAAAGTAATTAAAAATAAAATAAAACAAATTGCTGACCTGCTCTTCAGGTTGCGGCATCCTGGAAGTGTGCCTCCAGGATGAAAGGCCAATCCAATGCTTCTCATAGAATACAATGATTATCTAAGGCCTATCGTGCGGGGCCTATCATTATGGTATGTGAGTTAGGAAGTAAGATTCCCGGTTCTCAGACCCAAAGGGGTTGGAGGCGTGGCTTGAAGCTACGCTTCCAAGCCTTCTAATAAGTGAACTAAGGGGTTTTGAGCGGTAGCAGCAGGGGACAGGACTACAGGCACCATAACAACTTCAATTAGTTGAAGTTATTAAAGTGCCTACAGTGCATCTTTAACACAACCTCCTCCTAACCCTAGCCATACCTAAGTTAACAGTGCTGAAATGCCACAGTGTTATAATTAATGCAGTAAAATCTAAGTGCCAAACTAACATTAGAATTTACAATGTGCCATTCAGATGACATTTTAAATACATTTAAATACATAACCATTGGTATTTAAAATCAATACTTGTGTCTGGAAATGACGTTTCCAAATCTACCAGTAAAATGTCAATTTATAGTTCTAAATCAGAGTTTGCAGGAATCTATGATCTGCAAACTTTCTTTGTCTTAGGGATGAGCATAACCACCTAGCAAAGCTAGTGGGTATGCGGCAGCCTCCCGGAGTCAAATGCCAGAGCTGAAAAGGCTCGCGCTGTGCATCTGCACAGCAACAGCCTTTCAGCCAATCAGGTAATCAGGAGAGCCGTGCTGAGCGCGGGAATCCTGATTACCTCAGATTTTTTAAAATTGGGAAACTGCGGATGGTTAGCACATCCCATGAAATACTAAGGATAAATATTTCCCACAGTGTACAGGAATATAATTAAACTTCTAAACACAAAATAAAATAATTCAAGATGCCAATAGTACAGGGGAACAAGAAAATATTTAATAAGTCATGGAGACATACAAGATAGACTTGAAACTTTGTATAAAACAGCTGAACTGAAAAACAAGGCAACAATGTGTGCCAAAGGAAAGTATCCAAAGACCACTGGAAACATTCAACGTAAGTTGCAACAAAATAAGTTCAATAAAGAGACAAGAAATGTTGAAACAAGTCCCAGCAGACATAATCTTTATGCAGGGAGTCCATGAGAATATTAAACCGACGAGACTACTTGCATCCAATCCTTCTACTTAGGTGGATCCTTGGTTTGTTGGTCTTGTCTTGGAGTACGGCTATAGTCTGTAAAAAACAAAACAGAGAACAGTTATCAAAAGGTTGAATAAGCACCAGATAACCTTATGTTTTAGAAAAACCAACTACCACCAGCAGGCAAAACCCTTAACTAGGAGGAGGGTGGGACGGGCGCTATTGCTAGGTGGTTATGCTCATCCCTAAGACAAAGAAAGTTTGCAGATCATAGATTCCTGCAAACTCTGATTTGTCCTCCGGGAGGCATAACCACCTAGCAAAGCTAGTGGGTAGAATAGCACACACCTGGTGGTGGTCCTAAGAAACTGAAGGCGTTCAACTTCTGATGGCCTCCAGTAAAATCTAACAAAGGTTTTACTGGACAACCATCTTGCAGCTTTTAAGATAGTAGCTAGAGGAAGGCCCTTTCCTGCTGCTTTAGTAGCCGAGGCTCCCCTAATTGAATGGCTTTTGAACACTGAAACATCAATTCCAGCCGTAGACATGGCGGAAAGTATCCAGCCTCTAATTGTATTAACCTTGGCTGGACGAAAGGGATTCCTTGATGTAATGAATAATTGACTGATATCGTTTCTAAATCCAGCAGAAAGTTGAAGGTACGATTGTAACAAACTGACTAAACATAAGCCTGGTTCGGAAGAATCTTGGACCAAGTCCAATTCTACCGGACCAGGAGAAAAATGGGATGTTTTTTGTCTGCCTTTTAGTATGATATGGAAACCTCCCGGGGTCCTGGACAACCAAGGTTCTGAAATATGGATCTGAGTTAACTCTGCTCCTCTAGCTGCCAGGGCCAAGGACAGCAGAGAAGCCAGCTTAATAGCAGTCCATCTTAAATCAATTTTAGCATTATCCAAAGACTTTAGGAAATTTAATAAGACATCTACATCCCAAGTAGATGTGTAGCGTGGGGTATATGGGCGGCAGACGGCTAACCCTTTTAGTAATCTCAAATACAGGGCATCCTGAGTAAGGTTGGGGATCAGGAAGTTTAAGGCAGATCCGTAGGTCTTGATTGAACTGACAGATAAACCAGAATGGAACTTAAGGGTAAGAAATTCTAACGCCAAAGGAATGGTATCAGATCCTTGTGTGTTAGACAGAAAAGAAACCTCCCATTCTTTGAATTCCTCGATCATCTTTCTATATCTTACCCTAGTTCTACGTCTTAAAGATGAGTTAATAATATCCAAGACCTGGTCCGATAAGTGGGGATGTGTTAACAGCCTACCAGGGCTGCGATCCACATCAGCTGCGGGAGCTTGAGCAGAAGATCGCTGGTTCCCTGAAAGCAGTCCACTGTCATGCCTAATGGGATCTTGGTTCCCTTGACTAACTGATGGATCAAGGGATACCAGGGTCTGGAGGTCCATACTGGGTAAACGAGAACTAAGCTCTGCACCCTGTCCCTGCGGATCTTCTCCAGCACTTTCATCAGTAAAGATGGAGGGGGGAAAGCATAAGGGGCTGGAACATCCGTCCATTGGAAAGACATTGCATCCATTTTCCAAGCTCCCTTTGTCCAGGTCCGGGAGACGAACCTGGGAGTTTGAGCGGATGTTTGGGATGCAAACAGATCTACCTGTCTCTGGCCAAAATTGCTTTCTATCTTTTGGAAAGAGCAATCTTTAATTGGATCGTTGCCAGGGACAAACTTTGGCGAGAGAGAGAGTCTGCAAGCTCGTTCGCCTCTCCCGGAACATATTCTGCGAAAACCTGAACATTGCTTGCTAAGGCCCAGGACCAAAGATCTAGAGCCTCTAAGCAAAGACCCCTTGATCTTGTACCCCCTCTGTGGTTTATATAAGCCACCGCTGTCCTGTTGTCCGAATGGACTTTTACCAATGTCGGTGACTCGTTTAGAGGAACTAGGCCCTTGAGAGCTAATTTTATAGCTCGTAACTCCAAGATGTTTATATGGAGGTGACTCTCTTGGTCTGACCAGATTCCTCTTATGGCGTTTTGGGTTGTAAACGCACCCCAACCGTGACTTGAGGCATCTGACGTCAGAGTGACTGTCGCAGGCTGCTCTAACAGTGGACGAGGAAATGGAATTTCTAACTCCAGAATGGACTTCAATTCTTCTCTGACCTTCTTGGGGAGAACAAATTTTGATTCCCAATGGCCACCCTGTCTCAGTCGGTTCCCTAAAAACAGCTGACTTCTTCTGCAAAGTAAAGGGGAATTGTTGTATGCTGGTGTTAAAGCTATTAATTTCCCTATGATCTTTGCTAGGTCTCTCAAGGACCAACTCTGGTGCTTGAGAGATGAGTTCAGATGTACCAATAATTTGTCCCATTTGTCTTGAGGGATTCCAAGGGACATAGTCCTGGTGTTCAGTATGAAACCCAGAAAGAGGATGCTTTGAGTGGGAATTAGGACTGATTTATGTAGATTTACTACGAATCCTAGGTCTTGTAAAAGGGAAGCAATCCCTTTGAGAAGCAAGGGCTTCCCCATCTGGGTGCATGAGCAGGATGTCGTCTAGGTAGTATAGACACATGAAAACTTTTAGTCTGACATGAGCTATCACTGATTTCATAATTCTGGAGAATGTGTATGGTGCGTTGGAGAGGCCAAACACCATAACAGTCCACTGCCACACCTTTCCTTTCCACTGAAACCTGAGAAAACGCCTGTGTTTCTTGGCTATGGGGACTGAACAGGGATGAAGTGGAAGGTTTCTGAGCATTGCCTTCTTTTTCTGCTTTATCCAGCATCAGTAATAGTGGTCCCACAGCATCAGCAATTTTAAACTGTATATTGCGAAAAGTCTGGTCTGTGGGATCAGAGGATACGCTGCTCCCTGTGATGGATAACAGCGAAGGGTCTACCTCTGGGGCCATTAGAGCCTGAATGTCCGGGATACCGATGTGGTTCCTGAGGAGAAGGTCATCTTCCTTAACCAAGGGGGATCTGAAGGCTAGTTTAGCAAAATCTCTAACCTCGGAATCGTGCTCCATAGCCCATCTGGAGTGAAATAATTTTGATGGGAGAGTCTTTCCTAGGAGACTTACTCTGGCCATCTGAACATTGCTTAGCTTCCCTCGCTCAGTGGAAGCTGCTGAACGAACCACTTCCTCGGATTCCCAGTCTATTTCTGGAGAGCCGTATCTGGAACTGGGACGGCTTTGGGAAGAAGAGTGAGCGAACGCTCTAGAAGAGGAAGGAGAGGGACTATCTAACCTCCAACGAGATTTGCCCTTTTCCTCTGGGAGGTGTTTCTGGTGCTCAAACGAGGGAAACACGCTATTCCTTTTTTGAGGTCCTGTCCCCTTAAATTTTCGCTTACTCAAACGAGTATGAGGGGAAGGAGGAGCGGAGAAGTTTTCCTCAGACGAGGAACTGGCGGAAGAGACCAGCCGTCTTCCTTTATGCTTTTTATTTAAAACTGGGACCAAATCCTCCTCAGATGATGAAGAGGATAGATCCCTGGCAAGGAAAGCTCTCTTATGGAGCTTTCTAACATTGATGGGGCTGCCTTTAAGAGAGGCATCCACTAAATCTGTGGCAGACACAGAAATAGAGTCCTCCATCAATGATGCCATTTTAAAAAATCTGAGGTAATCAGGATTCCCGCGCTCAGCACGGCTCTCCTGATTACCTGATTGGCTGAAAGGCTGTTGCTGTGCAGATGCACAGCGCGAGCCTTTTCAGCTCTGGCATTTGACTCCGGGAGGCTGCCGCATACCCACTAGCTTTGCTAGGTGGTTATGCCTCCCGGAGGACAAATATAGCTAGATTGCAGTGCTGGCTAGGTTTAATTTATGCTCATTTCCCATAAACTGCTCCCTCGCCGTTACAGTGTCCTGCTTCACTGATCTCCTTATAAAGTACTTCCTGTACTAAGAGCACTGTTTATTGGAGAGGCATCAAATTCAGAGTTTAATTCGCTAAGTAGGGCGTTCTGGTGCGTTGATAATCAACTTACAGTATTTAGATCAAAATAATAATGTGAAAAATATTTCCAATTTGTTCAAGAATTTGCTATTTTAGCTTAATTATTCCAAAACGGTTCTTAACTTAACCAAATGAGTTAACCAATCAGTCTCTCTGCCTGAAGTATAGAGCGATATTTGTAATGTAGGATACTTCATTTAAACACAGCAGGAGAAGCTGGGTGGGACCATCAGGGGAGCTAAGTTCTGAGGGACTAAGTTTTGAATTGTATTTTTTTGGATACAATAATTTCTTGTCAAGGAGCTGAAAAGGTCTTGTACCGCAATTCATAGGGTTCGGAGGGATTATTTGCTATTATTGTTATTATTATTGGCATTTATATTGCAGCAACCTATTCCGCAGAACTTTACAATATTATAAAAGGGAAATTTAACAATAAATTAGACAAACTATTAAAAAATTTGCCAGGAACAATAGGATGATGAAGATCCTGCTCAGACGAGCTTGTAAGATCAAGATGCATAAATAAAAAAAACCACCAGAATCCTTGATTTCTTTGTGTATTGAAATGTCATAATGTGTATATTAATGTTTAACTGTCATAATTAAAATTTTACAATCACGACAGATAAGGTGCCAATAAATTATTATTATTATTAATAATAATAATAACAGTAATACATTTAGAGATAGTGGAAAGTGCAATTCACATACGGTACTTAAAGATCAGATTTAAGTATTTAGGCAGATATATGTGTGTTTCAGGAAAGTCAGTTTGCAGAACACTTATTGAAATATAGTTATTTCTCTAAAAATGATACTACATTCCTTGTAACTTGTGTTTATCGAACCTTCAGAATGATGCCTCAAAGCATCACCAGAGGGAATAGTTGAACAATGATTCCTCAGTGCCATGTGGGCAGCAACGTGTTAAAGAGAAGACTTCATTTAATGAGAAGCGATTGAAGAGACTCTATTGTGTTATAAAGCAGGTTCTAATGTTTCAACATACAGGGCTCTTAGAAAACGTGTTGCAGTACAAGGAGGACCCCTTGCTGTGATCTTTAATTGTTCCCTCACCCAGCTGTGATATTGCGTTTAATTTCCAAGGAGAAATTCATCAACTCCAATTACAAATTAAAAATCTTTATTAAACAATGTAATTTTGCCTCCAGTTGTGAATGAGAAAATACAGATACCCATAAACAAGTATGATCAAAGGCATCTGTTTTGGACTTTGTATATTGATAAATTTTGCAATAATGATTTAGATTTATAAAATCATAATTAGCTAGCCAAATCTTGCACTAAGAAAATGACTGTTAAAACACAATGGATTCTACTAACTAAACAGGAGTGTAGTCGGCTGAATAGCTGATTTGCACATTTTCAAGATAAATATTCAAGTGTCAAAAAGTGTTTGCAGTTAGCTGAGTTGATGAATTTGGATATTTCTTGGCCTAAAATCTACACAACTGTTGTCAGCTGAACACGGCTGACTGTTTGGGAAACCTTCCTATTTGAGAATACTATCTAAACATAAACAGGATTATTCATTAAAACGTGAAAAATTGTCGAGAATTCAAAGTAAATTCAAATGGAGTTTTTTTAATTTTAAGCCGAAACGAAAAAATTCTCCAAGTCAACTGTGTTTAATGTTGAGCTGTTTTTGCATACAATTTGAATTCTCAACAAGCTACACTTTGGTGCAAAACTGGTAAAATTCTCTGTATTATTCCCTTAGGAGTTAGAACATTTACCATACTGATAACAGACAATCTGCACACTAGAATCATTACCTAATCACATATTTAAACATGATTCATATTGATCTAAGTGCAATTTTCAGTAGAGATCTTGCAAACTTCTTACATCTATCAATTAATTGGTTCACCTTTCAGTTAAGGTTAGAGTTAAACATTAAAGTACCCTGTGGTGTTTAGAGTATATGAAAGATGTTTTTTGTTGTTGTTGTTGTTGAGGAAATGGAGTTGGAACTTCAAGTTTTGTTAAAAAAAAAAAAGTTAAAAAAAATATTTTGGTCATTTGTGTCATTTGTGACAGCTTCGAGGCAAAAATTCAGATAAATGTATTAAGATTCTTTTCTTCTAAATTGCATATAGCACCTACAAATTGCTTTAAATTAGAGGTAAATTGATGCTATGTATAAAGTAAGCATAGTGGCCCTGAATGCTCCCACATTACCCTTAATTATAAAAATCCCCTATGCCATCTTCACTACCAAGCATTTTTTTATTTGTAAAAAATAAAGGCATACATTTTTATTTTAAACATGGAGTACATAGCTAGCACTTAAACATATCATAGATTTAGATTGCTGTTCACAAAAACATACTTATATAAATTACATAAATATATAAACTTTTATTTTTCATTTATACAAGCATCCTTTATGGAAATATTGGGAAATGAAAACCATTCGACAGTATATCTATCACTTATCTTGCAATATTTCACACAGGGCTTGAACTATTAGTATAAAAATATATAATTATTATTGCATTCCTAATTACCCTGCTTGTAGGTATTTATAAGGGCCCTGATGGCGTTACTAGCAGTACAACTTACTAAAAACAAACTGTAAATAGAATGTTGATAGATTGTAAATAGAATTCTGCATTTGAACAGAATGCCCTCATAAAAATATTTAAAAGGTGTTGTAGTAATCTGCTACATTCTCTGTGATGCTAATAGAGATTTGAGAGATATCATTCAATTCTCTTCCTTCTCTGACGGTAGGAAAGATGATCTGTTTAAAGCATCCTTTACTGTTTGGAAGGAGGAGAGGGCTGTCATTTTGTAGCCCATTTGCAGGCCATTTGAAGTCTACTATACTAGACTTCTGCAGTAATGCTTCTCAGATGGTACGAACTAATCCAATTCCTTTTAATCTACCCCCGAACGAATTGATCCTTTCAGAAAAGGACTTCACAGGTAAATCCTGTTAGTTTGGGAGTCGATCTGTACCAATTGAAAAGCATTAATGAACAAATCTATACTCTACAACAGGGGTGCCCAAAAGGTAGATCCCCAGATACTGTAGAACTACAACTCCCATGATGCTTTGCACACATTTAGAGTGCCTTTAGAATGACAAAGCATCATGGAAGCTGTGGTTTCCATGATGCTGGGGAATCTATCTTTTGGGCATCCCTGCTCTACAAGCTGGTAATCAGTGTTGGTGTATATATGAAGGTAAGTGAAGCTATATGAATTCAAAATTGTTGAAAGGTTAAGGTTAAAGAAAGTATATTTTGCTAGTGAGGGGGTTAAACTCGGGAGGGAGGCAGAAACCCTATGGAAATAATTTTCTGCACCCTTACAGTAGTGTATAGGTTAATACATTTCCCATTCAACTGATTGACACATATATTATGACTGGCTTCTACTGTTTTTTGTGAATGCAATGACTATTAGACATTTCACATTTACAATCTCAACAATTGTTTAGAATTTCTTAAACTTAGTTTGGTTTATATATTTGCTTTTTCCTCAGTGTGGTTTGCATCATTATCACTATGTACCATAATAAATTGGTTAAATTTTATGCACATGAAAAAGTCATTACAATCTTTTAAATGAATATCACATTTATTAACTTGGTACTTTTTTTAACATTAACCCTTACATTGCTGCCCATGAACAGCATCTGGTTCTTTCAGACAGTGCCCTCCTTGATTAATAGTGTGTACAGGGGATATTAATTTAGTTTTGTCCATTTATTTACTTTTTTGTTTATTTTGCCTGCAAATTTCCACATTTGTCTATGAATTCAAAGTTTGGTATGTTAATAAACACTGAATTCCTATGCATCATTTTCAATTCTGACTTTATGATACTCATTTTGATGTAGATTTGAATCAAACCAAATTTGTACATTTATGGCTAATCTACAAAACTGAGCTACCTTTAGTGAATAGCAAAATTACAGTAATTATTAGTAAATTAGTAAAGTTTCAGAACATTTTGTAATCTGTAGGAACATTTAAATCTTAGGGAATAATATTTCTATATAAAAAGTACACACTTCTTTGCTCGAGACTCAAATGGTTGAAACATCTGTCTTTTGATAGCCCTACGGATCGATAAGCTGCAGATTCAACAATTTGCTTTTTCCCAAAAATTGTGTATATAATAGTAGGGCATAGCCAAGGGAACAAATAAAATGTGTTAAAATATAAACACAACATGTTTTAATAATAATAATAATAATAACAACAATATTAATAATTTGCTCCCTTGCTGTGTTTAAAGTTGACCTTTTAAGCTGCTGATTAAAATCAGATGAAAAGTTAAGGCAAATAAAGCAATGGATTGTAGTGAATTTTGTCGACCAACTCTTGCATTTCAGGACAAACAATTAATAATTTATTAAACTCCGCTGTACTGAACAACAAGCCTTGTCAGCTCATTACAACTTACTGTTCAGTGAATACACCTCTCTGGTTAGAGAAGGGGGCAAGGAAAGAGATAGGACACTTATTGGCTTGTTTTGTGTAGTTTTCTCACTCATTCACTGCAAAAATAATCTCAGTAAAAAACTCTTTGAGGAATTTAAAATGTTGAAAGTGTATCTTTGTGTTTGAAGGCATGTCTGTGTCTGATCATTATGTAATCATATATTGTATTGAGGGTGAATCTGTACTTTCAGTGTACTGTGAGCAAATCGTTTATGTCTGTTTAAGGGGACAGACATTTTTAAAAAAATCTGTAATGAGACTTAATTTGGTGTCTGGATGAAAAGTGTTTTATGAGGTGTCTGTGAAAAAAGTAAGTTTGTTAGATCTGTATTAGTAGAGTCTGTCTTTTGTGTCTGGGAGAGGAAAATTAATATTTTCTAGCAAAAGGCAACTGTTTTTTGTGCTAAGGCACTGCATATTGAAACACAAATGTCATGTAGTATGTAGAGAGTAGCTGTGAGGAAATTATGTCTACTATCATGGCTTAAAATTTCCACTCACCACAGTTCTCTGGTGAGCGAAAATTCAGCCCTGACAAATAGAAATACACCTCTGGTTAGAGATTCATGGGCACTCCAAGTGTGTAGTGGAACTTTTAAGGCCTGACTAGTAGCATAGAACTTAAAAATATAAGCTCTATCTATCTATCTATCTATCTATCTATCCAAATGGATACAGATGGTTTTAGAGTTGGAAGCAGGGAATTCTGGGAAATTTACCAGACTCCTGGTGAACAATGCTGAGGGAGCCTGGCAGTGTCTTTACCCACCCACCCTCCCCAATGTTTCTGTTATGGAATTGTTGTTTTGTGTTGTGTTTCTTTGTTTTTTTTTGTTTTTTTCACAGCTGCTGGTTTCCTGTGTCAGCAGGTTTGGTAAATGAATAATGCCCGGACGGGCTTGGTGAGTCTCAGCCTGAATTTGGTTGATCATGAAGGACAAGCTGAAGAGGCTCTGGAAAAAGTTTAAAGTGTAGCTGTCTGCTGGGTAAAACCAGCAGCTGACAGTATTTGGTTGTGCTGGTTTAAATAAAGCTGTGGCTGTTGCCCTTACCCACTTAACATGGTGTTGTGTTACTTATTGGGAATGGAAGGGTAATGGGATTTGGTGATCGAAGAAGTCAGCAATCAAGTAGTTTCTGGGTGAGGCTGTTGTCACTGTGTGGAGAGAGTAAATAAGTAGTTTCTCTAAAGAGAGAACAGCTGTATTATCTGTGTAAAGAGAACACATTTGAATAGTCTGAGAGCAGACATCAACTGTGTTGTCAGTGTGAGAGAAGTAAATATGTCCCTCTTAAGCGTACACCTGCAGTGTTTGTGAAACAAGGGAGATTTTATGTATGTTTGTATTGTAATATGGAGGGTGAATATGTGTTGTTTCAGTGTGAATTTTTAATTACCTGGTCAAATATTGTTTTATGCTTCAGATGGAGCAACACTCCATGCACCAAAACCACTACACTGCAATACAGTGTTTATTGTCCCAGAAGTGCCTTTGGCCCCAATGCAAGTAGTCAAACCATTTTCTCATGGATGGATTGGATTAACCTGTAGTCTGTCGATTGCCAGCCACCTCCACCATGAGAGCATAGAGCATAGAGCATAGAGTTGAAGTGTTTATAGTGTTTGAAGTGTACCATTAAAGTATATAGTTTTATATGCCAATATGGGACCTGGTTCTTCAGCATGTTGGTTAAACTACTTCTGGCCCCTACAAAAAGAGAGAGGGTGGACAGCACTGATCTGATGATGACCTGATGACTGAATGATGATAGGTATCAAGTTAAAAGCCCTAAAGATTCTTGAGACAACTTGATTAAACAGATCTATGAAATAAGTAGCATATTATACCTGTTCATGGTTGATATGTCCAATGCTATTGACTGATTCATTTAATAAGGTCTTTTTTGCTCTCATTATGTGGTTGGCACCGTTTTCTGTCGGAGTTTGCTGAAAGATTCCAGAGGAGCTAATGAACCTTATCGATTTATGGCAAATGATTTTAATTGGCCCAAGTCTGCTATTTTTCATGCTCATTTGATAGTAAATAGCTAGTGTGTTGGTAACTTTGGTCAGCCAACATTATCAAATTTCCAAAGTTTATTCAACCAAGTTAATGCAACTCTCATTTCTTAAAGGACAACTTTCAGCAAATTTCCACTTTCCACTTTGTAAAAGTGTATTGAATTGAATGAAGTATATATATGTGTATATGTATACATGGGGGCTCCGGTGTGAAAATTGTCCTCGGGCCCCCTTGATGTGTCTCATTTCTCCATGTGTCTTATTCCCTCCCCCCAGCCCCTCCATGTGTCTCATCCCCCCAAGTGTCTCATTTCCTCTCCCCCTAGTCCCTCAATGTGTAATATTCCTTCCCCCAAACCCCTCCAAATGTTGCATTCCCCCCCAAGCTCCTTAATTTGTCTTACATCCCCCAAAGCCCCTCTATGTGTCTCATTCCCCCCAGGCACCTCCATGTGTCTTTCTCTTCATCCACTCATGCCCCTCCATATGTTTCATTCCCCACCATTTGTCTCATCCCACTACAATTGTCTCATTTGCTCCCCCCAGACCCTCCACATATCTCATTTCACCCACAAGCTGGTCCATGTGTCTTTCTCACCCCTCCACTCTTGCCCCTCCATGTGTCTCTCTACCCTCCTGCAGCCTCTCCATTTTTCTCTCCCCCCTCCCTTCCCCTGCAGCAACTCCATTTCTCTCCATCCTCTCCTCTCCTCCACTGCAGCCTCTCAATTTCTTTCTCCCCCACCCTTTCCCTGTAGCCCCTCTATTTCTCCCCCTTTGCAGCCCCTCTATTTCTCTCTCTCCCTTCCCCTGCAGACTCTCTATTTCTCCCCCCCTTATCATGCAGACCCTCCATTTCTCTCCCCTACCCCTGCAGACCCTCCATTTCTCTCCCTCTTCCCCTGCAGACCCTCTATTTCTCCTGCCCTTGCCCTGCAGAACCTCAAATTCACTCACGCTTTCCCCTGCAGACCCTCCATTTCAACCCCTGTCTTCCCCTGCAGACCCTCTATTTCTCCATTCCCCCCTTACCTGTTTGCCGTGATCACGGTACCCGTCTGAATCTGACAGGAAGTACTTTCTCAGTGAGCACTTCCTGTCAGACTGCTTGGCAGCGCTACACACAGCGGCAGAACGGGAGCAGCACAGCACATTGCTCCCCTCCTGCCGGTTAGCCTGCCACCATGGGCCCTGGCTGGTGCTGCTGTGCACCGGCCCTAAAGGTCTGCTGGCGGCACCTGCCACCGTGGTAGTTATGCCACTATATATATATATATATATATATATATAAAATTAAAATTATATATCATTCTTTTTTTTTTTTTTTTACAAATAATGTTTATTGATTTTTGTTAGAAAAATTAGCTTTTGTATCTGGCTGAGCAATCATGTTCGGTCAAACTCTCCAGTTATCTAACTAACTGCTCCTTAACTTGCCTGCTGCTGCGATTGCTCTGTGCGAAACTGCAACAACATGTAAGTTAGGCTGAGCAACAGTTGGTCAGATAACCATAGACTCAAAATAGCTGCCGAGACAGTAAATATAATGTGATTTTTCATCCAATGTATATAATTAATAAATAAAAGTTATGCATTAAAAGAAATGCTATCCTAAGACATCCAGGCATTCAATGTATATTATTAAACACTTTGGATTGAATGTTTCTCCAGATTGCAATGTATATGAGAACATGCGAAAAAGGTACCCCACGCATATGTCAAGGAATTGTGATAAGAAGATGTAAATGCATGTGACGTATCATGGTAGTGCCAGTACTTCATTTTATTGACACAGAGCTAACTGTACATGCTCTCTGCACACTGCAACTCAGCAAATGCTTCAGTAGTGTTTACTAAGGTGAGGTATAAAAGAACTGTCATCAGCAGGAACTGTTTCCAGTGTAGCAATATAATGTAAAGATATATTATATGGGTTTCATCACTCAAGTCATTTATTGCATGGTTGTTTAGTTAATAATTACATATGTGACCTGGCAACATTTTGATTTCTTAAAGTGACTCTGTCACTTTCTCTCCACCACATCACCCAGCCTTTCAATGGGTCCCCCCAACCCTCTCCACCCTCTATGAATGTAAGTGGTCCTGTGGCTGGTGCTTTTTTTGAGTCTTGATAGTTGTGCCAAGTCATCCATCTCATTGTTTCCAGAATACCGCTCATAGTATAACATACGCATAGGCCTGCCTTGCTAGCAGTATATGCACAGAGCTTGGTGATCAGAAACGAAACTCAATATATATAAAGCTTAAAAAAGCCCACTCAATGCCAGGAGCTGATAATGGGAAAAGCACACACACACACACACACACACACACACACACACACACACACACACACACACACACATCAATAAAAAAAAAATCAATAACTAAAATAATAATGAACAATAATATATGTAAGTATATGTCAGGATAAGTAAATGCACCTAAAATCAAACTTCCTGTGGACACAAGTGGGGGGTTGTATAATACACAAGGAGGGGGGTGTAAGAGACACACAAGGAGGTGTAAGACACACAAAAGGTGGGATAAAATACACTAAAAAGGGTGTAAGACAAACAAAGGGGGGAAAAGAGGTAAAATATTCAAAAGAGCTGATATAAAACACTAAATACACAAATTTTTGTTTGGGGGCGGGGGAAATTACACATTGTGCTACCCATAAACAGCCACACACATCACTCACCACTATACATAATCATCACTCACAGCTACACACACAGCCACCCACTCATCACTCAACAGCCACACATATCACTCACAGCTACACACATCATTCACAGCTATACCTACAGTTACAGACATCACTCACAGCAACACACACCAGTCACAGCTACCCAGAAACAGTCACACATAGTTCTCACAGCTACTCACACACATCTCTCACTGTACCCACGTTTATCAACGCACGTCACTTACAGCTACCGCACTTAAATACACGGTCATCACACCCTACACCTAAATACACAGTCACCCAGTCACATATGCACACATAGACAACACACATACTATCATCTCATACACAGTCAGCCATACAGAGCCACAACACACACATCATACACAGTTCCTTTACTACAGTACAATAACTACAACACTTACAGCCACTCTATATCTAAACAGGCATGCTGTTACTCTACACACACAGCCATAAATAGCCACAAAACCCACAGCCAGCCATACATACACACACACACAGTTAAAGCCTCTCTATACCTAAATAACACACACAACCTCCCCCCACCAAATAATGCATATGCTATCACCCCACACACATTTGCAACTTTTTAAAGGAATTACGACATTCTGCTGTAGTGGTAATGGTGCCAGAGGTACTTAGACACCCTTCAAAAGTAACAACAGTTTGACAACTTACCTGGTTCCTTGTAAACATACACACTTTAAAGCCCCAATACACACACTGCAGCCCCTACCAACACACCCACACTCTACAGACCCTAAACACACACAACCTCTACAGTCCTTCGACATGCAAGCACATACACACACTACAACCCATACACAGTACACTACAGAGACATTTACACACATAATACACTATAAACAGTCTTCTCTTCGACACACAATCCCACATATATATCACCACATTAATACCCCTCACACATGCACAACACTCTTTACAAGAACACTACCAGTCCAAGTGTATGATTAAATTTGCTTTGTTTTAAAAGGGGAAGGGATTGTGCCAGCAAGCTTTAATCCAGCCAAAAACTGTTTTATTAAAACACTGTTTATTGTACTACTAACCCCTTAAAAGTAAATCTGACCTTGAATAGGGGTCTTGCGGGTGAAGGAGCCATGGCTGTGCAACTCTTACACAGCCAGTCTTGCTGCTATGCAGTGAGATTCTAATATATGTGTGTGAGAGCTGCGTAATGAAGCAGGAAAAGAGTGTGGAGCGACAACATGCATGTACACCTTTAAACCAATAATCCTTGCCCCAGGAAGTGGCACTTGATCTCTTATTGCCTAGGTGCCCAATGTGTTGTCTCTGCGCCCTGTTGGGCCCCTTACAACCATAATGGCTGGTTCCCTCAACACAATCACACACACACCTAAATTCACATACCATGTTTACAGGCACACTCATGGATACACTGAAAGATAAATACACAGAGAGATAAATATACACACACATAAATATACTGATACATGCTGTCACACAGACACACAGATAATGTCTCAGGTGCACACACAAAGATACATAATGCCACACCACACACGTTCCCATACACAATGCCACACCACACAGATGCACTCACTAACATGCACACACAAATACACTGACACTGCAAGACATATACACTCACAAATATATGTTTTAAGCCACCCTCTTGGTTTGTAACAGCAGGGTAGCTTTCCTTTTGTCCAGAGGAAATGCCGCAAACTTTGATGCCTCCAGCATATATCATAATTTCTTCCCACCCCTACTGCACAGGAGGAGAAAAGGAACAGTTAATACAACTTGATAAGGGGCCTGCACAGATGTTACGCCATGTCATCTGGCTATGGGAGATAGTTATATTTCAACTGAGCTACATTTGACAGGGCCCCATGCGGGTCCCTACTGGAAAACTGGTTGTACCTCCTTGATTTCAGCTCTCTGCCCAACCCCCTTATGACATTTAATATTCATCATGTGGGGATGAATAAAATCATGTCCATCGTCCAATGATTATTAAATAGACTCCACCTACATGGGTTGGTTTGGGGGAACTTTAACAAGTCCCTCCATGTCTTTTAAAAGAGCTCCCACGCACTGGTCATGAATGTGGACAGGGGATAGAGTGTAACCTGTCCACCCATCATCTAATTTTAAGCAGGTAAGGGCTCTGGGTGGCCTGTATCACCCCCACAATATTTTGCAATGCTTTGTATTTTACCAAACCTCGCCACTTGACAGAATCACAGATACATACAAAAACATTTTAAAACACACATTTAGAGTTAGGTACACAAAGTTTCACAGATGTGTACATAAAACCATAGATCCACGAACACACACAAATCAAACATTCACACAATGATAAACAGATATACACAGACATGCACTGACATGGATAAAGAAAGGCCCACTCAGACACACATATACAAGAATCACAGATGCACATGGACAGAGACAGACATGCGCTAACAAAGACAGATATACATACACACATATTCACAGACATACACAGAGGCAAAAACAGACATGCACAAATGGACACATGTACAGTTACATATGCACTGTCAGGCCCAGACAAACAGCCACAAAGACACATAGAATTGCAATTCTGGCAGGCATACATAGGCACAGCTGCTACACAAACATGCACAGACACACACAGGCACAAATACACAAACAGGGACAGAAAGAAACACACCCTATATAAAAACAGGTATATAAAATATGTCTATTTGCATGGTGTGGGGAGAATGCAGGCAGCAGTGGCTGGTTTACTGATGCAGGCATGGTGGTCACAAACCTCTTCATGTTTATCATAGAAAGTGAGGGAGCCTGCGGTTCAGGCAATTGAGTCTCTAGATCTGTTCTGCTCTCCCAGCCCAGTCTCTTTTCTGTGAATCTCAATTGGGAGCAGAAATAGCATAGTTACAGAGATGCTTGAACATGATGTTACCTATTTCTCTATTTAAACTGTGCTGCTTTGACTCTCAGTTGAAAATCCCTGAGTACATGGACAGGTAGGGAAAATCAGAAATAAAGATTCAGTGCTCCTGGCTACCTCTGGGGCAAAAGAGATTTGGCGCTGATATGTCCCCTATACAGGGCTGGTGCCCCCCCACAAGCCACACACTAGCTATGAGTTTAGTTGGTCACCCATCGTTTAGATAGTAGCTTTTTAATAATGGCTTACTTTGAATTTCTTTCTTTATTATTATTTTATTTTTTTATGTTAACAATTTGAAATCTTTCATTTTCATCAGGTTTTGCACATGCCTTGTCTCTTCTAAGAAGGAAATTCAGAGCCTCCCACTGAGTTGCAAATCAGCTAGTAGAGCCTGTGGCACATTAGTGAAGGTATGCTACACCCCTCTCTATACAGGGGCCATCATTGGCTCATAGCACCAGGGGTGGGATTTCAGATCCCACAGTTAAAGAGAAGAAAGAAGCCATCTTGGAAGTAGCACAGACAAGGCACAGCAGCAGCACCTCCTGTAAGTGTACAATATTATCTTTTTCTCTCCCACAGCAGCCTTGGTGTCTGTTTTAGGTCCGACATGTTTCATAACAGCCAAGAAATTTGTGATTGGGAAACCAGGACTAAAACATTTCGTTACTGCAAAGTTTTAGGGCTTCCAAGGTCAAAGAAGGGGTCTGCTTGGTGCGTAGGTGTGTACAGTGTAAAATAGTCGATCATTGGCTGTAATATTTATTAGTAATATAAACAGCATTCTTAACTGCATCAAAATTGCATGAACACCAGAATTATTTGTTGGGAGCTTCATCAAATGGTCTTTCATTAATGAGTAGATGCACAAAAGTCCTTTATCACCATATTCTTAAACTGATTAAGATCACCTTTCTGCGGTTTGAGAAATAGGGGAAAAGATGACATAGCAGCCACCTCAAAATTAATTATGAAATCAACAAATCCTAAAATTGTTTTACTTGAAGAAATTGTTGTAAATTAAATTATAATTTGTGTGCTGAGTCCAATTCCTACAATTCCTACTTGCTACAAATAATCCCAAATTAAATTAAAAGTTTGCTATCTTTTCCTTAAAATGTTCTTTTCGTTCAGTTTTGCTTTCTTTTCCATTATTTTTGTTATATTTTTTAAATTCACTTCAGTTTCTTAGTTTGCCAAGCTAGTTTGTCCACAATCTGTTATTCAAAAGAATTCGACAGAAGTAGAAACTCCAAACATCGTAAACAGAGGAGAACAAAATGGTGGAAGCCCGGTATCGAGGTCAGCACAAGGAAGTAACAATAATAAATGTAAATAAATGTAAGAATAAAGGGGGAAGTATATAATAAGATACAAAAAGTGTAATGAAAGGGAAATTTAACAAAAAGCACACAATAGTATTACTTTAAACACTATTCTTCTGCGTTCACATTTATGAAAATATATGACTTTTGTCATTTTGTTCTAAAAGTTAAAATGTTTACACAAAATCTACTAAACATTGACTTTGCATTTCCTTTTAATTTGTGCTATAAGTCTGTAACATTGTATTTTACATTCAAATGCTCTATGAGACATGTATGATTAAAGTCTCCATCCAAATTAATGTTTATACTTGTGTTTTAATACCTAAACTCCTTGCTTACACATTTATCACAATTGTAATTGCCAGTAAAAAACAATATTATATTCTGGTCCTTAACTCCATTATAGTATAGTCTATTAAACAAAATCAGCAAATATATTGAGGCTTGTATTATTAAATAATATGCCATCTGTGCATATGGGCATTAAACATAGATTTACATATTACTTTCCATTAAACAAAAACCCAGATTCTGGTTCTTTTGCAAATAATATGTTTTATTTTTTCCTAAATAAACTTCTATAACATGTAAAGAAATGTGTGTTTTTTTTATTTCTGCTTCCCTTGTTGTTTACAACTATAGCGAATGAGCTATTATTTTGCAAGGTTCATATAATTGTCCCCAATGCTGTTAATTAATTGCTACCTCTTAACAAGTTAGATTGCAAGCTCTTTTAAGCAGGGTCCTCATTGCCTACTGTTCCTGTATTTCATACATGTTTTGTTATAATAAAATATTTTTCCTATTGTAGAGTGTTGTAAAATATGTTGGTGCTATATAAATAATTTATATTGCAATTTAATTGTAGACTATCTAGATTTAAATGAAGTATGCAGGAGTATGGGACAATTATATTTAAATAAAACAAATTATTTGTTTTGATTAACATGATAAAAAGTCTGCACAAAGTGACATACAAATTTGAGACTTAGATACCCTGGACAAAACAGCAAAGATATTTAAACAAACAAACAAACAAAAAACCCTACAAAAACCCCTATCTATTGTTCAGAAACGGACTCATGGGAAAAATATATTTTAGAAGCATTTAGAGATTAGAGAAAATTTGCAAACCTGAGTTCATAATTGCTTATTTTTAGACACTGCATCATGCCAGAACTATATTTAATTTTCTTTTAAAATATAAATAAATAGCACTAGTATTTAAAAAACAAAGAAACAAACAAACAAACAAAACTCCTTATTGCCAGCTTGTCATTGCATAACTAACCTTATTAATATTAATTTTTATAGAATTAATAGATTTTCCAGTCGTTGGATGGACTCAATAAGACATGTTTCAACTATTCCACTAGCACTGATAATATTTCATTCAAATAATCTTTCATTCAAAAATATCAATATTTCGTTCAACACAAAAATATGGGATTCTCTCTCTCTCTAAAAAGGCTGTTTTATCAGATTCTGAATGAATGAGTGGATTTGAAATGTAAGGCCAAAATAGCTCATTTTGAATTTTTTTCCCAAGTCAGCTTTGATTCCAGCTCAGCTATTCATTTAGATTTCACTTGGAATTCGTAACAGTTCTTACGTTAGTGACTAACTCTGTCCGCTATTGCCTATCTCGCCTGATAGAAGTCTGTGGTTTTGTCTACTAGTTATTTCAATTCATTATCTTTAAAAAGAATGATGCAAAGACATATCCAGTTTTCAATGAAATGTACTAATGTTTTCCTGTGATGTGGAATTGGTCCCCTGTGCTATGTTTCATTCAAATAACCTTCAAACTTGCATCAGTCTTCTGGGAAACTCGAGTACATTTCCACAGGTTAGTGATCTGAGTCAACTGCTAGCCATTTACAAGCATCCACTAACATGCCTGTCATCTATGCGAGTTGCATTTAAAGATATTTCCTAAGTGCTCCTTGATGGTACAAAGCATTGGCTCAGTGACAGCACTTAGCCCACTGAGATCTCAATTTTATAACCAACCATTAACAACATAAGACAATAATGAATTTAGATTGCAAGAGAGTCTATTTGCAGAAATCTGTAAAATATAAAATGAAAAAAGAAAAATGAGAAAAAAAACCTACAAGATTTTGAAATAATCAATGTTTTCTGCTTACTTTTATAATTTCCATAGAGATCTGTTGGAGTTTTTTAAATACTTTTAAAGCTTTGGAAATGCTCCATTTAAATAAAAATCTAAACTTTTATTTATTGGTTTATTCATTAAACATTGAATTGTAGTGTGCTGGCAACAAAATTACCAAATTTACACTAATCTACAAGATAAAAATAATCAACAGCTTGGTTTAATAAATACATCTCCTCATTCCATCATGCACCTCTTTTAAATATTCACAATTTACTAATCAGTGACCAAAATACCAAAATATCAAAGTTAGAAAAATAAATTAAGCCAATTTTTTCCCCTGTGCATCTAGAATGTTGGAGGACTTTTCAACCAATCGAAATTCATAGTCTTGCAAAAGCCCCTTAGATCAGAGAAGTTAAACAGCTGCCCCTTGATATACCTGGACCACAGATCCCATAATTATTAGATAAAGTCTGACAGAGGATTATGGGAGTTTTACTCCTATATTATCTTATGAGGTGCAATTTGACATTCCTGAGCTAGTGAAAGTGGCACATATATTTTATTTTTGGGATTACATTAACTTTAACATTCATTTTGGCAAATAGGACTTTATTAAAGTAGAAAAGCAAAGAGCTGTCACACCAATTGACCTGAATATCTGTCTTTCCAATTTAGCTGTAATGATGACTTTTAATACTTGCGGAATTCTTGATTGCTATTTTGTATCTGATGAAAAGAGTTTTTGTGAAAGTCTGTGATTATGCAACTTTTCCGTCCTCATCATAATTTACTTTAATATGATACTCTGCTGGAGAATAATTTTAAAGTAAAGACACAACAAGCAGTTATCACTTTCATTTAGGCCGTCTATGGTTCCAGTATCCTGAAAAGGCCTAAAATTATAATTCCAGAAGCTAAGATAGAGACATATAAATAATATCTACACATGAAAGTCTGATGAATTATATTAGTGCTGAATACGGAAAGTCGGCTCTATGTAATCTCCTTTTAATAGAATCTCCATAATAAATTTAAACAGTTATGCAAGCAACGAGTATCAAGCTAATATTTCTACTAGTGTTTATAATAGCTGCAGATTGTTTTTATATATAGTTATAAATTATGTTAGTTAATACATTAAATTTTTTTTTTTTTTGCCTAAATCCCATGACTAAATCAAGACAAGAGATTCACATTTTAAAACAAAATGTTCCACTGGAGCCCACTACAGCATTTTTGCAAAGTATATATCTAGTCAAAATCTGAATACAGTTTTGTGTACTTGAACTGACTTAAATATCCATATGGAGTCTACTTTAACGAATGCTGGCAGATCAATTGATGTTGATTCTTTGTCAATAAGTGCTTTTTAAATGCTGACTGTCAAAGTTAGCTGTTATAGGGACACTTCAAGCACCATAATTACTATAGCTTATTGTAGGGTGTGGCGAATCCGACCTCGCCACTGGGCATTGGAGAAGACTGATTGCCAGCCTCCTGCCATGTGACTATGGCCCCTGGGATGTATTGCCCTTTAAAGACATGATTTGAGCATAATGGATTTGTGTTGTGCTGCTGCTGGCCCTTTAAGAACCATCTGGGGACATACTGTGGCCACCATTTCCTGTATCAGAGGCACATGGTGAGAACAATGGATGAAGCACATGATGAGAACAATGGATGGCGGCCATTTTAACTCACAGACACTGTTTGGACTTTTCTACATGGTACCATCTCGCCGGTATTTGGTGCACAGAGACATCGTGCAGTGGTTTTGGACTATACAACAGGGGACACATTACACAGTGATTGTTTTTTATTTAGCCTGTATATGTTCTGCGGAATCTGCATTAAACTGTATCTTCCAAAGTACTGAACGGATCTGGGTGAATTTTGGATATGTGGTTCACCCAGATCCCCCGGTTCCAAGGATATACTTGGGGTTATTGCATGTTTTGGGGTCCCTGTGATGTGTTTTATAATACTGTATTTCTCTTTCTGTGATAATTAGATTAACCATTGTGTTCAGTAATCATATCACAGGCAGAGGGGAGGATTTTGTGTGGGAGTGTCTGTGTGTATTGTATGGATTGATTGGCTGTTTTTCAAAACCCTGTGGGCAGTACTATATTTGTGGATTGTGAATAAAAGAGGCTGTATGTGCCAGTCCAGTCAGATCCTGCTTGACCTTCAAAACGAAGTGTCGTCTCGTCTTTGGGGGGATTTACTGTATGCTGTTCGAGACTGATTGCCAGGAGTGTAAGCCACTTGGGGGCTTTTCCTGTTCGTCTGCTAGCAGCTATTCGTGTGTCTCCAGTTCGGGAGTTTCGAGTATTCCCTTGGTTGCAGTTAGGGAGTTGGTGAATTCGTGGGTTTGCAGTTCGGGAGATTGGTGCTTGCAGTAGCTGTCTGTGCATCTGAAAGGGGAATATCGCCTAAACGGTTTTTAACCTCTTGTGGGAAAAACGGTCCATTACATAGGGGTTCTGGGGCAAAGAGACTGTCTGAGAAAATACAGTGTTTAGAATGCTGCCTAACACCACTACTAGTGAATACAAATACAAAAATATAAGTCCTGCGCTCACTCCCATCACTTCTGGGTGGCAGCAACAACCACACTACACATCAGCCCTAACATACAGTAAAAAAAACCCAAAAAGTTACCTGCGCTCTCTCCTTAATCCCTATGTATATTTAGTGACTGGCCACAAGAGCGGCTTCCTGGATGAGGTCCTGCAATGATAGCTGGATTGCCGTTCAGTGCATGGTGACACTGAACACTCTCCATATAGATGTATTGAGTCAATGCACCTATGTGAGGAAATGCTGGTGGAGGAGGGGTATATATGGTAAGAGAAAACCAATTTGAAGGGGCCCGGGTATCTAAATTGTCCCTATCATGCTAATATTAGGAATACATGCTTGTTTTCCTAATGTTAGAGTGTTCCTTTAAGTAATAGCGGAGATTTCTCACCAGCAAAACTTTAAAAAGCAGCAAATAAATAGGTTCAGAAATGGGAATCTTTGACCCAGCAGAAAATGGTGTATGGGAAGTGACTACGAACGTGGCAGGTCTCCTTTGGTTTCTAAGAGATTAGTAGATGTCTGAACTGTGTAAGTGTCCATCACATAGTAAACAGAATGGACAAAGAGTGGAAATATCTGCATGGCACCAATTTCATTAAATAAATAACTCCAACCGATTTTACAAAAGATAAATGAAAGGGAGAGGTCGGTCATTATTTATGGCAGTTAAGTAATTTTAAAAAACTTTTTGTATTATTATGCTAATCAGTTGTTCAGGGTAGGACATCTAGAAGAGCAGGGTTGCTATCCCCAAGGAAACCAACTAAATCTGTTCTCATCATTAGGTCAACAGCACATAGTGAGAAGGAACTAGAGATGTGTCAGTTCTCCACTGGTGACCACCAAACCATGCTATTGACTATCCCATATTAAACTGGATGAGGAAGGAATATCTGCATGGCACCGATTTATCTTCCTCCTATCATGATATATGTTTTTAGGGGCATTAAAATATATTATGATTTAAATAAATGAATTTAAATAAATGTATCATTTTTATAATTGCTTTATTCGGTTGTTCAATCAGGCATATAAAATCTGTTCTTCCGAATGGTCTGACCTGAACAACTGCATAAAGCAATTATAAACATTATACATTTATTTGGACAACTAAGGTGGCCTCATGCCTTCTTTCCAACTTGCTAATCCTGTAATAGCAATTGACTATTTTTCCAGTCCAGTATGCAGTGAATTGTGCTGAGCTCTGCTAGTGACTGTGCTACCTATAATGAGCACTCCTAAATACACAGACACAGGACAAGCAACCTGTAAACACAAACATGCACAGACAATACTTGCTGAGATAAAATTGTTAAATCATCCAATAAAGCTATTGTTTTGTGCTGTATACATCACCAAGAGTCTTATTAGACAGGTAAAACACTTGCTTAGTCACATCCATTTATTTAATAATGCAAATAAAAATAAATAAATAAATAAAACACACATGAGCAAGAAAAAAAGATTAATGCTTGTATTTCTTTTAAAATATCCCTAATATTTATGTTCATCAATGGGAAACTAAGAATCCACTGTCAACATTAAGATTATATGTTATCAATAAGCCTATTTGGAGGCTTAGCAGCCACTGGTAAAAGCAGGGTTGGAACCAGTCAGAAATTCTTCCTTTCGAGAATAAGTGGAACTTTTAGCGTCTAGCTTTTCAGTAGTGGCTGCAGGTAACTCATTGGGCAGTTGTAGAATATCTGGTGTATCCAATTTCTCTGCATAAATTGCTCAATCTATCAAATAAATACTATTCCTTGCACTATTTCTATGTTTCTATACTTCTTTGGGAGTTCTTCAGCTCACCCAGAGAGTTTCCTACTCCAGTGTAACTGACTAAATATGGACACTAGTAAATGCCATTTTAACGTAACTTTTGCAGGGCAAAATTTTTTTCTAACACAGGACTCTAATAAATCATGGGGATTGAGTCCAAGGTGGAAAATGCTTAAATATCTAAACTGTATTTATTAAAGTTAGACATAGTCTATTACTGAATTGTCAAGTCACATCTGAGGAAAAATACCTTCACTCAGTCTCTATACATTTTACGATAGGACTGTGTTGGGTAATCCTTACAAAGGCTTCCTTTCCCATAATGCCTATGGAACCCCAAGATTGGCTATGAATGGAGAACAATGTATTTAAAAAAAAAACATCTATAGTGCCAATATTAGACTTCAATTTGACAGGATGTCAACAAATAGAATGCATGATACAGGAGATGAACTACAAGGAACCTATCACACTACAACCACTCAACTTTAGAATTTGAGCTTCTGGAAAGAATGAGTATTTTCTTGGGAAATTGGATGGCAAACATGCAGCAGGGCCGGAGTTAGCTTGTTTCCAAAGCCCAGTTAAGGTTTGCATCATGGTCAAAGATAAAATCTGATTAATAAGGTGAGTGTACTACTGTGATATTACCCTGAGGGTTCCTTTATTAATAAGACACTGTGACACATAATTTCTTATCTAAATTAAACTGCACACAATTACCTTGTTTCTTTTTTCTTCATTCAAGGAATTCAAATTAAGAGTTTTATTCCACAAGGCACATTTAGATATACCAAACAGTGAATTGCAAGTTGATGGATATATTGAAGAAAATTTCATTTTTCAAATAGTGCAATGCTTTTCATGGACAGGTTCTTAACATATTTGAAGTCACTTGAGAAACAAAGTTGGGAAGTGTTAAGTGGTTATGAAATAAGAAAGCAAACTTATGTTGATGAAATGATAAAAATGTTCTTTAAAGTAAATATTTGTAATAAATCCAATATATATAAAACCTATTAACATAAAAAATTTATTATTTTCTAATACTGTGTATAATGTCTGTCTGACTATAATTTTGTTGTCTTTTTACCAATCTGCCTGTCTGTCCTTTTCATCTATCCGTTTGCCTGCCCATGTGTCTGTTTCGCATATAAAATAATTTATAGTACATTTTATTTGAATTTTAAATATGATTATTATTTTTTTTACGTCACGTATAGGTGGAAAAATGCTTTCTTAAGAGGAATCCCAATTACAACCAAGGAATTCATTCAATATATTCCAAATTGAAGAAAATTGAAATTGGAATGGCAACATTTAGACTAAAATAGCCTGTGGTAATAAAATGTATTATAGGGAAATAGCCGTAATAAAATGTATTGTAGGGAATAAAACAGCCTGTGGTTTAAACTGAGCTGGGGGATTTTTCTCGCTATTTGTACTTAAATGTTGCAATTCAGCGTTCAGTCCAATATAATTCAGTGTTAAGAAAGTTTCATAAATGCTAATTAATTTCCTGATACTGTAAATGTCGTTTGTTTGTTAAATTTATTTGTGCCTTTATTTGCTTCAGATTTGTAACCATTATTATAAAATATGATAAAATTTGATAAAAAATATAGTAACTTTATAATATTTTTCTAACACATGCTTTGTTAACTGTGCTGTCAAAACATCTTGAGCCTTCCAAACCAAGTATTGCTCAATGACAGAAATATTTCACATTTTCCCTAATGTGTTCATATATTCCAAGATTCCAGACCACCTTCCAGTTATTTCATTAAATAGCATAGACAGTGCCCATCTAGAATACTGTTTCTTTTCTAAGACATGGACACCTCATCAGAAAAAAAAAGGCCAATCCATTTTGCTTATTTTTCTTTGTTGGTCTAATATCCTTGACCCCATGTGATCAGCTGGTATATATGAATTCCATTATTTATTCTTTTCCATCATTCATGTCAGGCTCATTTTATTTGTTTAAGGGTTTCCCCTTTGAATATAAATATTGAAATACTTGGAATTTTTCTTGGACATTTCATGAGGCAAACCATGATGAATAGCATTAAGCGTTTTGTGTAATTTATAGACAGGATGAAATAAAAAATGCACAGGTAAAATTGTATGAACAATGAGTTAATATATATTTTTATCATCATTAGCATATTATGCAAGTTGCATTAAGGCATTTGGTTTAAACAAGATCAAAAGTTTATAAGAATTTGCCAGCCCATTGCTGTTTCCTATCATTTAATGGCTTTTTTCAAAAACTGTATTTTTTTAGCAGACTAAACATGTAATTTCAAGGGCAACCAAAAGCATAATTTTAATTAAATTAGTATCAAAATTAAACAGAAAAATATGCCATTTTAATCTAATTGTATCTGTGCCTTTTTATGATGTGTTGCGATAAGAAATATTACAAAGCAGTGCAAATTACGATTTAGCAAATAAAGCCCTATTTGCCTTCTTTTTTGCTTGGAACTATTTTTCACTCTGCAGAGAAATACAAGGTTGCTAAGGTTTCATTCTGTTTTTTTGTAACTTTGCAGAGGGACTGTCTTTATAGAATAGCAAGCTTTGAAGAGAAAACTTTATGGCTGCATCCTATCACCCATGTAGAAGGTTGGAGGGAGGACTCTAAAAATACAATTGGTTATTTTGATTTTAAAACTTTTGAATTCTACATACCACAGGGCTACACTTTACATGTGCTGCACATCAATATGTATATGTGATATTTGCCCCAGAAAATATGGTGGATCTGGTCATCCTTGTTATAGGGATACTGTAGACATTGTAATAGCTTAATTTAATTTAAGTTATTGTGTCTGTAGTCTCTTGATGTAATTATTCCATTCCATGTTAAGCCATTTTTATTTTTTTAATGCTAATTGAGAGCCCTCAGCAGCCCATCTGCTCAGTGCTGTTTAGAGTAAAGAAGAAGCATTAGCCTGAGCTACAATGGGTGGCTGTGACTGGCTGACAGTTGTGGTAAAACTATGGGGGCCGGATGGAGAGTGGCACCCCCATCAAAGCAGCAGCCACAGAGACTCACTATACCGACCCAGGCCAAGCCGTGCCATCCTGGAAACAGGTGCTTGCAGCCCAACAAGTAATCATGAAGGAATGTGCTCCGATCTCCACTCCTCAACCATCACCTATTCACATAAAGGTAGGACCCAGGAGAAAGCTTGGGTATGGACTGTATGGCTGTCACTTTGTGTGGCTGTAACAGTGTGTGACTGTACGTTTGTATGTGACGCTCCCACGTGAGCCAAAATGTTGCCTGTTAAACTTCAATAGCCTGCGATTTGGGATAGAGTCTACGTGTGCCAGATATTCTTTCTTAGGTCTACAATTCATGAGGGAGTTGTAAACGCCCTGCTCTATGTGGCATATTAGTGTTGAGCCCCTATCTTGATTGGTGAGTGCCGTTTCTTATCAAATCTTTGTAACTTTGTGTGACTGGGACTGTGTGTGTGACTGTAACTGTGTGTATGAATGTAACTATGTGTGTATGGCTATGACTGTGTGTGTGACTGTAACTGTGTGTGCGAGACTGTAATTGTGTGTGACTATAACTGTGTGTGTATGCCAGTGACTGTGTGCTCTGTAACTGGGTGTAAGTGTGTCTGTAACTGTGTGAGGCTGCAAC